CTACATGCAGTAAATGCTTTTGAGGACAAGCAAAGGAGAAAAGATATATATTGTAAGTAAACTGACGTTTAGAAAAATCAGCTATAAAAGCCCAAACCGAAATCACCCCAATAGGGATTCCTACCTTTCATTTTTAGATGCACACACTCATTATTTATTTAATAAATTTCAAGTTTTTAAAATGTCAGATTTTATCAAAGACAATGCCTCTTTTTTACGAGGGTTGTTCGAAAAGGTCGTGGACAACTGTCAAATCTTTTTTATTTGACGTCATATGTTATCCAAATTTGGTAGAAATAGTTTTACAATAAATCCAAATGATTTGTATTAATTTTTTCCAAAATATTACGATTTATTCAAAACTTATCCAGATCTTAAAAATGCAAAAATCGGATATAGCTTTAGCAGTTTCAAACTTAGCAAGTTACAGCAATGCAATATTAATGTTGATGATACCTTCAAAACCGAGGTATAATCGTGTCACTGAAATTTAAATTAAGAATTGTTACATCGATTCGTTTGCCAAATAATGGCTTTATATTTTGCTTTTTGAAGAAATTCACTGGCATTTGTTGATATCTTTATGTGAAAACGAACAATTTCGATGACGTTTTAGAACAACATAGCAATAACGACTCAATTTGGTGTTAAAATAGAAAATCCTTTAAAAAAAGACTCTAAAAATACTTAAATTTGAATAATTTCTTATCTACTTTGCTGTGTGTATTTAAACAACTGAAAAAATTTGTGTGACAGAGATTCAAAAAAGAGGAAACAATCTCAAGCAATAATTTACTATAAACCTGTAGTTGTCTTTTTGTTAAAAAAGTATCAAATGGTTATATATTGAGTTGCGTATCCTGTGAAAAACAAATAAAGATAAAAAAATTAAAACCTTAACAAAGAAAATTATACAACGAGAGCAATTCTTAAAAAATAAATTTCAAGTATTAGAACAAGGATTCAATGAGTGGATATTGGATTATTCTGTGTGAAATGTGTAGGGATAGGGTACAAAACATGTTGATTTTAAAATGAAGTTAATAAATTTCTCTGAAATCGAATGGTATGAAACTTCACACACCAACAAAACAAATATTTTTACATATTATGTAGGATGATTTCAATTTAAATATCACTAATATAACGGCTTTAAAGTACTTGAGAAGGAGATTTTAAAATATTTCCCTATATATTTATATGCTTTTATCAGAAAATTTACTTTGTTTACTTCATAGTGCTTTTTTAGGCAAAGAACTTGGCAGCTACTCTAGCTGAAATGATTCCACATCGAGTTTCATCTTTCCTGGCCCAGTGGTTCTTGAGAAGAAGATTTTAAAAAATTTTCCCTATACTCCTATGTAAAACTTTGATCAGCCATTTTGGCCCCTGACGTTAATGTTGGTGATATTTTCAAAACCGAAATTGAATCTAGTGCTTGGTGTGATAAAGATCCTTAACTGCTCATTTTCCTTAAGTTTCAAGTAATTGTCTAAATTTGAAGATTTTTCAAGATTTTGTTATATCTTTATATGAGTGAACAATTTTCGAATGGGATTAAGAACAACATACAATCTATCACTCAATATTATGTTTAAAATAGATGCTTTAAAAAGGAACTACCTAAATTTGAATAATCTCTTATCTACTTTCCTTTCATATTTAATCAATTGAAAAAAGGAAGTAATTCAAAAAAGAGGAAACAACCTCAGCAATATTTTACTGTTAACATGTAGTTTTCTTTTTTTTTTAAAAAGTATCAAAGGTTTATACATTGATTTACTCTGAAAATTTATTCTATAACTTTTTTGAATTTTGATGCTTTAAATATTTTGAATTCAATTACACTTAGGAAATATTGGAAACAAATTATAAATATATCTCTAACTTGAATTTATAGTTCATGTATGGATAAGTAAAAATTAAATATCACGATATGAAATCCATAGCAAAAATACTTTAATTTATTAAGGTAAAAGATTTGTTTTGCTATAGTAACAATTCTTGATTTCTAAATGTTAGTTTTGTAGAGGCTAACCTCTTTTCCATAACTGAATGTCCACTTTTTATCAAAAGTTTTGAACTACACAATGAAAAACAAATAAAGATCAGAGTTAATTCCCTTCATAAAAGATAGCGCTCATTTGAACATACACGTAAGCAAACGAGAGAATTATAAAAAAGTAAAAGAATAGTTAAAAAAGGGGGTGGGGACCACGTATCAAAGGAAAGAAGGATATATTTATTTGATAAAAAAAATAGTAACATAAATTTATATGACATGCAATTACCGGTAACTATTTCATAATTGTTAATTAGAAAAGGCATGAAACAAATACCGATTACATTTAAAATACTGTGAGAAAACATTGATTCCGTACGTGATATCAAGTTTTTGTAGCTTGGGAAAAACAAAACTCACTAAAAATTACGGATTTAACAGTCCTGAGGTATAAATTATGGAGGCAAAATAGACTTTTCGTTTCCGTGAGCAATAGCATGACTTATTTTCGAATAGCGTAAAATTAACACATGAAAATTCTAGTGGCAGACAACTTACATAATATACAGGTGTATCGATGAAATTATTCATATCAAAATGTCAATGACTTATGTAAAGTTGTACATACACGTATATCAAACATGCACTTTTCATTTATTGTTTTATTTTTAAGCTTACCTGAGCCGATCGCTTGAATAAACTTTTCTGATCGAAATTTATTTCAAATGAAGGCTCCTTCAATGGGAGATAATTAAGAAATAGTAAAAATTGGATGGTATGTATAAAAGTCTTCTCAAGAACCACTTGGCAAAAAATGAAACTTATGTATGAAACCCTCTTTACATAGTGTTGATTCAAATCTGTTCAAGTCATGACCTCCTGGCGTAGGGTGGGCCAATAATCTCGATAAAAGTTTAAATAGGAATGTTTAGAGAAAGAAGAAATCTTTAACAATCCTCCTGTATTTTAGATTCAAGTTTGTACAAATCATGACTCCTGGGGATGTAGTGGGACTACAAAGGTGGATAAGAACTTTTAAATAGGAGTGAATGTATATGTAAAATTATGGTAAAAAAAATCAATCACCTTTTCCAGGTAAAGTAGATTCAAATCTGTTCAAATCATGGCCTTATGGGATAGAGTGAGGCCATGATGGGGGGATCAAAGTTTAAAATTTTTATTTATAGGGAAAAATTCTTCTTTTCTAAAACAGCAAAAACGTTTTAAGTTATTATAAGTTATGGAAACATCATATATGGTAATGCACATTCAAATTTATTCAATTCTTGACATCTAGGGATAGAATGGGGCCATAAAGGGGGTTTTACCAATCAAAAAGAGTTATCCCCGTTAAAATGTCGACCTGATTTATCTAAGTAAAGTTGAAATGAAATACACTACATTTTTGTTTCAATTATTTACACCGACTATACAGAGGATTATCTAATTTCAATAATATTTTTTATATTATTTGACCAGATATCCAGCTATTCCATACGATTTTTCCTTACTTATGGACTGATATTTAGCACAGTCCTTTAGATCGCTTTTAAAATTGGAGGTGCCAAAAATATATTTTATACACGTCAGTGTTTTAAGTAGTAAAACTGAAAGCAATCAAAAGGCTTTTGATATTCTGCATATGATGTTTAGGTTTCCCAACATATTTATATTTGTTACTCAAAATCATACACTGAGTACGATCAAATTTTGAACCAAAACATACTACATGTATATATATTCATACATAAGTTGTATGTCAGCATGCCGTAAATTTTATGGTTTTTATAATACCTTATTAGCGAAAATAACCTATTCTCAGGTCGTATTTTTGACGACTTCTTAAGCCTTTTATTTTTTTTTTTTCGTTTTTTCACTGAGATTGAATACGGAATGTTCGGTTTTCTTGATTAGTAAATCGTAAGTGTCATGGCGGATGTGGGAGACGAACTGTGGGCTTTTAATCCTCCTGGTCCCCACAATAGATCTCCATGGGGTCCGTGAATATACCCTTTTGTAGATTTTCTGTTTCTGTAGTTTTTAAGAGAATGATCGTTGTTTGTTATCTTTACTTTTTTCAATTCTGATCGACAATGTCAGATCAGGTGTTCTAACAATCTGTCGGAATTCCGATTGGGTACTAATTGTTTCCAGTAATTAGAACCCCTCACCCTTTTTTTGTATTCATATAAATCTGAATTTAAAGAATACGTAAACGTGAGAAGAAGAAGACACTTGCGGCGCCTTCAACTCGACGTGAAGATATGTCCTTAAGATTTTACTTCCCTTATTTGTAGCATACGCTCTCATCATCTGCATTTGTGGTCCATATATCCCAAGTGATTCAATACGAAAGAGCGTATGCTATGTAGGAACGATTCCTAAAGCAACACAAGCGATTGACAAATAAGTTGATGATTCAAAGTTATCAACAGTCTCATTTAAAGTGTTTATTTACTTTCTTAATTTGAAACATTTTATTTTTTCCAAGTTAAACTGAATATGAAACCTTTCTGAAAAATATAATTTGTATCCGTTTTTTTTATCATCCACAAAGCGAAGATAATATTTCTTTTAGAACGAATTATCAAAGTAATGCCATAAGGCATAATATATATATTTTATGAAAAGTATGAGAATACAAAGATGGGATGTTCAACATTATTTTTTTTTCATTTGAGATTTTCATTTTTTAACCTTTAATTTCCATTATAATATGTGTTTGTTGTTTTCAATTTTGTAGTGTTAAATTGTGCAAAATTAATTGTTTATTAGCTAATTCTTGAAAACAAGCCTGAGCAACAATTATTCCACCAGCGTTGACTTTTTCCCTATATAAAAGGCGCCTTAAGAACAGTATTGATTCAGATGAACAGAGAGAATCGACTTCATACATTGGAGTCGACATCTGATACACAATGGTTATTCGCGAAAGTCATCATGCAACGTGCTCGTAACTTTCACCAACTCGCCAAAACAGCAAATATTTTTCAAACAATCAAAGAAACATCTTGTAGTTTTATACTTCTTTGAGAGACTAACAGCGAAACATATGGAGCCCGATGAGTCGGAGAATATTACGAACAAGGAAGACTACTATATATATGATTCCATGTACTACGAGGACATAGACTCCTTAAAACAGTCATGGACAATCAAAGATGGTCATTTTCTGCCCACAATCCTAGTGTACAGCCTAACATTTGTGATCGGTCTTGCAGGAAATATACTAGTTATTTATGCTGTGGTATGCAGTCGGAAAATGAGGTCCATAACAGCGTCTTTCATGATAAGTCTGGCAACTGCGGACATCCTGTTTCTCGTGGTATGCGTGCCATATAATACTGTGGAATTCGTGAAGATTGAGTGGCAGTTAGGACCGGGCTTATGCAAGTTATCGGTCTTTACGGAGCTGTTGTCGGCCTTTAGTTCCATCTTAAACTTGTCTGCTGTCAGCGTGGAAAGGTGAGATTTTCTTAATTTAAAAAAGTGAATTACCTTCTCATGCTTCCTCCCGCCCCACAAGAAGTAGAAAAACAAAGCTAATAACACTTTGAGTCTAAACGTTGCTATTCTAATTACTTAACTGCTTTGAGTTGCTTTTTCCTGAATGACTATATCAATGCAATGAAAAAGTGCATTTTATACAAACCCACCTCTCTTCCACCCTTTTTTTTTTACAAATTTATATTATAGATTTATTTTTGAAAAAGCAATGAGCAAATTTAGATACAATTTGAACTTAAATATGATGCTTTATCATTAATAAAGAAAAGAACATACTATTGGAAATATTAGAAATCAATGTATCATATTTTACACTTCGATAATCAGGGTGCTTAAAAAAATATGTCTTATTCTCAGGAGCATACATTGTAAAATATCAATTTAAATACTCCAATAAGACAACAGATTTTAATTTTTTTTTCTAACTTTATAATATCACTTTTCATACATGTAGTCTTGAAGTTTATTTATGACCAGAAAAAGGAATATCCGCAGTCTCGTTTAAAGTTATCATTTCGAAAGTTCTATGGTTGATACAATGACTTTATCATTGAGTCAAATGCTGACAGACGTTTTTCATTATTTCTTGATCATGACAGGAACACACGGAGGGTGTGACCGGTCGGCAGGGGATGCTGACTCCTCCATGGCACCTGATCCCACCTCTGATGTTTTGGAGGTCCTTCTTTGCTCTGCTCCTATTTTGTATTGTTTTATGGATTTTTGATCTTGAATACTGTTCGTTATCTCCATATATTTCATTTCACCTTATATGCCTATTATCTCCATATGTTTCGTCTTAATTTATATAACCTTTCGGATTTCCTAAATTTTTATTTTAGCTCTATCAAACTAAAGGTCAACATGACATTTCTTTTAGAGTTTTCTTTTTTTTTTTATCTAAACCGCTGAGCAAGAATCAGGAAGGTATTCTAAAAGAGTTTACAAACTAAAGCTTTTTCTTTGTCTCATTAATCTTAAGTTGGGTTTCCCGAAAATACCATGTAAGAAATAAAGGGAAACTCTGAATATTCCTAGACACCTTTAACTTGCATTTGTATAACACCAACATTAAAAAATATTTTCCCCTTCAAAATATAACTATGCTTTTATTTATAGTATTTCTTTCATCAATAGTCTACACATTACAAATATATAATAAACATTTCATTTGTTTATCACAGCTAATAGCTGGGCTGGCTATTCTCTGATGTTTATAGTAAATTTTCTCGATTAATTTCTGAACATAATATATAATTTCTATATATAAAATTTTCTTATTTTCATGGGGAAAAATAACCCGAAAAAAAGTCAGTGACGCAAAGAAGAGAAAATTGAGAAAACAATCACGTACATTGCTTTTTTGTTCAGTTCTTCTTGACGTACACGTATTGGGTTTCAGATATTGCAAGTTTCAGAACCAAGAATCTTTTTTTACAGTAAAAAATAGGTTTCTCGTTTCAAAACATAATATTGCCTTGATTCGAGTTCTGTACGTCTAACCCTAGGTTCCAAGAAATGAAATTAAGATAGACAAAAAGGTTTTGAAAAAAATAGTGTTCAAAGGATTATCAAAACAGACAAGAAGGCTGTTCGATGAATTATGTCCTCGGTGTTCGGAAAGAAAAATTTTCAATGATTTTGTCTCAATGGTTTCCTTTAAGTACTCTTCTTTAATTGAAACTAATGTTAGTAACATATCTATCTAAATCCTAATGTTTTTAAACCCATTTTTGAGTATGCCATTCGTATGCTAAAAATGGCAGAACCGACGATTTCTCGGACTTGTTTCTTCTTTCTGAAAAATGTTTTTTTTTTATTTTGAAAAAGAAACAAGTCCAAGTTCTGGCGATTATAATTAGTCGGAAAGAACTAAGTAAACTATCTGTTTATCCAAAATAAAATACAAACTCCTTTACTATTCATGACTTGTGGGTGGGAGCGTTGTTATGAAGAAAATTAAAGAAGCAGATTTCTGATTCTTGTTCCCTCTTTTCATAAATCCATATTGAAATGGATCAAATCTAATTTTTTGGAAAACAATCAGTCGGACAGCATTTAAAGTCAGACCTAATTTGACTTTTCAGAGTATAAAAAATCGTTAATACAATTACGTGTATAAGCTTTTCTTATGTGTCACCTATTCATTTGTTGATACGTAATTTCAATGCAATATCTTATCGACCAATTCAAGGGCCCACGATAATGAAATAACTAAAAATCTGATCAAGAAGGCCACTAAATTCGAAGAAAATGGCATTTAATACTTTCCTTGTGCTCTGGCATTTCTTTGCTTTTCCCGGACCTTTGCGTTTTTAGTTTAAGTGCATCTTATAAATTTTTTATCTGGGGTTCAAAGCAATGTATGCAGGGGTCTACCTTATATAATATCAGACAAATATGAATAACTACAATTTTGGATTGTTTTTCATAGTTGTTTGGATATCCTTACACATTGCCGTTTTCACAGATTTGTTAAAACAAAGGTTAGCCATTGAGATCTAAGCTTTTTCAGTGTCAACTGTATCTTTAAAACACTGTGATCTAGCCCACAAAATATGCTTACCACATCTGCTAAGCGTCTTAAAGCCAAGTAGACATCATCTGTGATAATTTGTTGAATTTTTATAAACATTACTTTTGTTCTTGATAATTGTGGTCGCCAAGGGAGGTAATTACTTTTTATGCCTATTCTGTCATTTTTGATCATTGAAATCCACCTGTCCATCATGACATGTACCTTTTAGACAAACATAAATCGCTGTAAACATCACATATCCCAGTAGCTTTTACTTTTACTTTTGATTATTGATTCTTTGTCATTTATTTTTAATGGTGTATACCTAAAATAATCTTTCTTTCCCAGCTTCTTACAATGAAACGTCGCCCGCGTGGCGCAGTGGTTAGAGCGTCTGCTGTATATAGAGTCGCGAAGTAAGGAGTCAATCCTTACGTCGCGGGTTCGAATCCCACTGTGGGACGTGGAGACCGGTCCTTCGGATGAGACCGTATAAACCGAGGTCCCGTGTCGCAGTAGGTGCTGGCACGAAAAAGATCCCTCCCTGCTTAATGGCCCTAAGTGCCGAGTATAGGACAAAATTTGCAGCTCTCCACCGGCAAGTGGTGGCGTCTCCATATGAGTGAAAAATTCTCGAGAGGGACGATAAACAATATACAATCAATCAATTTTACAATGAAACAATATGATGAAAAGTCGTCACATTTACGATTATCAGATTATTAAAAATTCAACTATAAGAGAAAGCCAAAGTTAATGTCATATGATTTTTATGTTGTATGTTATAGAGATCAAGACATAATTTACTGAACAGCCCTCGTACTTTCGTTTTGTTTACATCGCCTGCGTGGTACAGTGGTTAGAGAATTTGTTATCGAAATTGCCACAGTCAATGGAGTCGATCCCTACGTAACGAGTTCGAATCTCACTGCAGGACGTGACGTCGGCCGGTCCTTCATATGAGACCATATAAACCGAGGTCCCCTGTCACACTATGCGCTGGCAAGAAAAAAATCTGACACTGCTCATTGGTCCCCAGTGCGTAGTTAAATTCACAGCCCTCTACCGATGTATGTAAGTTGTGACGTCACAACCAGTCAGTCGTGGCGTATCAATGAAAGGGAAAATTTCTCGAAAGGGACGTTAAACAAAATAATATCATACATATACAAGATTATATCTGGCATATCTCCTGAAAAGGTATGTACAGTTTCTAAAACGAGGAAAATTATTGATAAACAAGTTGATGAAACAAGAATATCAGCTTCTTGTTTAAAGACTACATTTCATAAGTTCCTTGGTCTGTACAATGACATTGTCAGCAAATACATTTTATCATTGAGTTTAATGCTGACTGACGTAATTGAAGACGGAGTTTTCCGTTATTTCCCGCTCATGACAAAGAACACTCAGCGGGTGTGACCAGTCGGAAGGGGATGCTCACTCCTCCATGGCACCTGATCCCACCTCTGATGATTTGGTAGTCGATCTTTGCTCTGCTCCTATTTTGAATTGTTTTATGGACTTTTGAGCTTGACAACTGTTCGTTATCTCCATATATTTCATTTCACCTTATATGTCTATTATTATTATATAAAAATACGTGAAAAGAGTTTAAATTCATGGATGTTATTGGAAGATTTGTTTTTTAAACTTGCGATAACCTTTTTTTAATTAAGGATTCATTTCATATATTTGTTCATCAAAAGAATTTAAAAAAGATTTATGCTTGCAGGAGAATCATGATATGCGTGAAGTAATATGACTATTTTAGATTTAAATGAAAGCAAACATTCACGAAGGTGTATTAATTTTCATTATGTGGCGGAAGGCTTAATTATCGCGTATTACAGCCTTATAAAGTTGTACTAGTTTTTTGCCAGTGTTTGAGTAAAAGTGACATGTTTCGGCATAAAAATCAAAGAACAAAGAAAACTATTGAAAATATCTTCTTTTTTTTCATCCTTTTTAAAAAGAATCTTAAATTATTTGAAGATTCACATATATTTTCTCTGATAAAATGAAGCGTATACACTTATCAAATCTGGATGAATTTTTTTATCATTCTGACCGCCTCCTTACAAGGTCTAGAATAAGAAGTGAAACGTTGTGTGACTGATTTTAAAACATACCTCACAGTATCTGAGATGGTGATATATTATATCAATGAATATATGTATAATTTATACATTTAAATGTCCATGTGCATTACTAGTGTATTAATAAATTTTAGTATGCATAAGAAATATTTTAAGATTTAAAAAAAGTAGCGTATAATATTATGAAACGTCTATGCCTAATGGTGTAGAGATCTATTTTCACTCATTTAATTTATAGTCTACTTTCGAAAATTCGATTTTTTATCATCATTACAGATTCAGCTTATATGTTTAACCATTGATCACAATCAAATTGTCGTTTTTTGTCATTATATACCAAT